TAACATAACATAAGATACAACTTCCAGGCTTCACTTCTAGTAAACGGTGATAATTCTGTGGGAAGACTCTAACTCCATGCTGGATAGTGATTATTAAGTTGTTCTTCACGACGTAGTGCCGCTCAGCAATGATCCATAATAAAGACATTATCGTATTCCAAGATCCAGAGTATAGAATATAAATATCCGCGCCTCAGAAGCAACGTTTGTCTGTCTTGCATCAAGTACGACAAGATCTCTAAAGTCCAAATAGTGCAAACTTATCAGCTCTCTTCTTCACACCCGTAACCAATCATGTCTCGCTACACCGCCGTCCACGCCAACACCACAGGCCCAGGCGACGCTCGCCCAACAGCTCTCCAGATCATCAAAGACGAAGGTCTCGAGGAAAAGCGCCAAGGTCAAATCTTCGTTATCACCGGTACGTCCTCTGGAATCGGTATCGAGACTGTCCGCGCCATCGCCGCGACTGGGGCAACTTTGTACCTTACGGCCCGAGACCTTGACAAGGCCAAAACAGCCTTAGATGGCATCTTCGACCCCTCCCGCATGGAACTGTTCCAGATGGATCAGGGGTCTCTTGCGTCCGTCCGGGATGCTGCTACTGCTATTCTCAAGAAGACCTCTAAGATCCACTGCCTCATTGCTAATGCTGGCATCATGGCTATTCCTGACCTTCGTTTTACGGCTGATGGTCACGAACTCCAGTTCGGCACCAATCACCTGTCTCACTTCCTCTTCTTCCAGCTTCTAAAGCCTGCACTCCTTGCTGCTGGGTCAGCTGACCTCCCCTCAAGGGTCGTGGTTCTTTCTTCGTCCAGCCATAACATCCACGGCATCAACGACGCTGACAACTACGCCTTTGAGCACGGCGACTACGACCCCAACATCGCTTACGCCCAATCCAAAACAGCAAATATCTACATGGCCAACGAGATTGAACGCCGCTACGGCGCAAAACACCTTCACGCCACTAGTGTTCACCCGGGCGTCGTCGCTACAGGACTGACTAGACACACGCCCCCCGACGCCTTCAAAGGTATGGAGCACATATATCCTATGATGAAGAGCGTTGAGCAAGGAGCTGCAACTACGGTGTGGGCAGCTGCTGGTGAAGCTTGGAAGCATAGTGGTGGCAAATACCTTGTTGACTGCGACGTTGCCAAGCCGGCGGTTGATGGGGACGATAAGATGATCGGGCCAGGGTATGCTCCGCACGCGTATGATGTCGAGAAGGCGGCACGGCTGTGGAAGGACTCGCTCAAGTTGGTGGGATTGAAGGACGAGGAGTAGTTTGTAGCGGTCACATCTTTCTTTCAGTGATGTCTTGTGTGGAGGAAAGTTATGGTGTCTTTGACCGATTTTGAAAGCAGGAACAAGGTGGTTTGGGACGTGATAGAGACGTCGATAGCTCAATTTAGAAAGAATTGGTCATAGCATAATCGCGTTTCTCTTTTGTATGTGCTCGGTTCGATTCCATCATATGTCATATACTGTGCCGTGACAAGCCTGCTTTAGAAAAATGCAACCGCTACCTTAGTACTCCATTCAAGGGTGCAGCAACATCTTCTCTAAACGTGTGAAGCTATTCAAAAGGATTATTACCTCCAGAGCTCAAGCCCCATTTCTTGAGCATCTTCTTATCATCGCCCGCCCACCTCCTCAGCACCTCAAAGCCCTCATAAATAACCAATATCATAATCCCCAATTCATCAAGGTCGTCCAAAGAAACCCCCTTAACATTCTCCTGAAACCCCGACATCTCCAGTATGAGGCAGGTCTGTTGCTCTCCGGCTTGTCGCCACTCTGTCAGTGACTTTGCGTTCCATATGCTCGCGTTGCCTATGAAACTTAGCTCGCCCAGCCTTGGACTCGGCTGGTACCAGCCAAATCTGAGAAACGTGTAAATACTCTCGACAAGGTCTGCAAAGATCATTGTC